TTACTGTCTTTCTTTTCTTTTTAAAAAAACATTTAAAGGCTATGTTTTCAAGAAATACTATGTCCACTTATTTCTGGTGCCATTTTATTTATCAGCTCATAGCCATTACTTTGAAGGAGCTCTTATATTTAAAATGAAATAAACTGTTGCTTTCAAAAACATCTGCTAGTCTGCTCTCAGAAAAATCCTATTCCTGCCTTATTGAATTTCCAAAGTCTCTCTCAACATCATATCTCTATGATCTACCCACCATCCATTATTAGATTCAACATTTACTGAGCACCAACAAGGTACGTGATGCAATGACAGGAGCCAAGGACACAGAAGTGGACAGAACATGTCTGGACATGCCATCAAGCTGGGGAACCAAGTGCCCAGCCGTGAACTAAGTGCCACGTGAGTTCAGAGAAGGAGCAAGAGGAAGAATTTCCACTAGGCTTTGCAAAAGTTATGGTTAAGCAGAGAGAGAGAAATAGGGCATTTGTGTTAGGTTGTGTTAAATTGAATGGCGCTGAAAAACGCCCACAGGCCAGTGGTGCTCTGAACACTATTCTCAGCTTCTCAGTCTAAATCACTGTTAGTTGGTTCGATCAAAATCCATTTACCAAGCGCCCTCTGTGGAAAGGACCTGGGACTGACTCTAGGCATTCAGAGACAAGGAGAATTCCCAACCCGAAAGAACACAGCGCAGTGGGAGGCAGAAAGGGATCCCAGCACATCCCTCTTGTAGGTCCTTGGTCAGTTCATCGAGGCCTGGAACAGGTTTACTCAGCTGTGTGCCCCCAGCCCCCAGCCCCGCCTGCACCTTGCCGGGCTCTTAGAAGGCAATGGAAGTACCAAGAACACAGAGCTCCATCCTTCCAACCTCTTACAACCAGTTTTTAACTCCCAAGGCTTAGAGATAAATTCCTCTTTCTGTCCTGCTTTAGTTTAGATAAGGCAAGGGGACACCACTGTAGCAGCTACAGTTGTCAGAGAATGTCTGCCTCCTTTACTCAGGCCTATTGTGTGGTCTGACAAACCACGGTGGGTCTTGAGAAAGTCTTATTGATATTCCTAAGAGTTTCTGCTGCTACCTGGCACCCTGGGACAAAGGCTTTTTAAATGACCAGCCCTTTGAAGCCACATGCATCCATCTATACTCAAAAGGACAGAAGGGAGGGCAGGAGGAATAAAGAACATAAGAGAAAGACCTTACCCAAGGTACACGTTCATGCTCTCAATGGTGTCTGGAAATTTCTTCCCACTCTCCATATCTGTGATAGCAGATCCTTGCAGAGTCTCCTTCTATAAATAGTTTACAAAAATATTTTAAACCTTTATTCATAGAGAGTTTTTTTAATTATAAAAAGTAGAATCACTGTTGTTCATACGGAAAATAATACAATAATGAAATAAATAAGAATAATTTGTTTAGTGTACTCACGATTGTAAACCTACTTTTGCCCCACCCTGCATATGCTAGACAATAAAAACATGTAATAGATAAGTAGAGTCCTATACATTTCATTATTGGAGTAAAGAAATTAATATATATTGAAAAAGGTATTTTATTTCAGGCACTTTTCATACAGTGTTTCATTTAGTTTTCCAAACAACCCTATAGAGCAGGTATCACACCCCCATTTGTAGACAAGGAACTGAACCAAGAAAGGCTGAGTAAAGCCTAGAGGTAAAGCGTGTGGGTGTGGACCCTGCCAACCACTCAGCTTCTCTGTGCTTCTCTGAGTTTCTTCCTTTTTAAAGTAGGATACTAAGAGTGTCAATCCCACAGGATTGGTGTAAATACATAATCTCTTCTTGTTCTTACAAAGCGATATGCAGAATTTGAAAGGTCCTATAGCAATTTCTCTCCAGTAAAGAATCATGCCTCCCATCAAGCCTAAAAGTTATCAGTACATTTCCTGGACAGGCATGAATTTTGTTTTGTTCCCCCACACACATGCAATAATCATGAAATGATGTATCCAGGGCACATTTTCCCAGGCACAAAAGGACTGGAGAGAGCATGGTTATGGGGTGGTCTCTACAACCTCCCTTTCTCAAAAGAGGGGCTCAGGCTAGAGTTATGGAAAACAGGACAAAGCACCTGAAAATTGTGTGAACCACAACAGCACCAGCTATAGCTGTATAGAGATGGTCACTCATAAAAGGAACATGTAATCGCCTTACAGAGGCTCTAAAGGTGGAGGACACTTTCTGTTCCCCTGAAGTCTGTCCACAGCACGGAGTGGCACCGAAGCTAAAGCAACTTCACCATCAAAGGGTAAAGCTGGGACTGCTCCATTGTCCAGTCACCAATGGGGATTTGGTGGTTTATATATATTACAAAGCATATCTATAATATATAATATAATGTAATATACATATACACATGAAAGCATGTGATTTATTACAACAGGTATATATTTTATGTTGTGTTCAGTTACTATTACAACAGGAGTAGGCAGGGCTTTGCATATTAAAAGTCAAACTCTGATATTCCCAGGCAGGGACCTGCTTCACAGTATAGTATTGTTTCCATATTAGTACTCTATAAACAAATTAAAATCTCTCCAGGGCTATTTTCCTTCCCATAAGGAAAAACAGTTTAATTCTCTTGGATAAGATTTTCTGTATTTGTCATCACAGTGGGATCATTAAAGCAGAAGTCTGCCACATGCTAACGTAACATCATATTTAAAATAAACCAATGGACAGTTATGGCAGCAAATTCACTCAGAAGTTAGAAGAAGGATACAGATAAATTTAAAATGTATACTATTTACACAGAAATAGGACAGCTCTGCAAGGTTATCTCCACAGCCGTTTTTACAAATCATGAATCTAAACCTGCACAGACAGGACATTTAGTAGGCTTGAGTGAGGCCAAAGGCTCTAGTAAGATAGAGCTAATTAGCAGATCTGTTCTGTTTACACTCAAACAAATGAGTCAACTGATTTGTGTGTTCCTGACAGCTAGCACAAGTATCCAAGGACCCACAGAAATGGTTTGCATTTCACAAGTAGGATTTTACACCCTTTGCATTTCACTGGGAGCCAAGCTCAGCCTAAGAAAACAGCGCCAATGAAAAGCCAGATGCTTGATAGAAGCATCTAGGGTGTCAAACTGAAGTGTTCATAAAAAAAAGTATTAATTTATTTCCCTTCCTGTTGTGACACAGAATGTATCCCCCACAGCAAAATCCATCAGCTGGAACCCAAATAATGTTAAGACTAGAAAGGCAATGACTTGTGCTAAATAACTTCATGTTTTGTAAGAAGCACAATTTCAATTTAGACTTCCATGTTGGAAGGAGGGTCCAAAGTTATTTTAAACACTGTCTTCAGTGAATCGGTAAATCTTTCATACCACACACATAAGTGGTTTATTACCATAAATAGATAACCAATCCAGGTAGCTGCCCTAGCAAATTTTCTAGACTAAAGTGACACAGATTAGAAAGAGATTTCTATAGCTCAGTCCAACGAGGTATACTCAAATTCAATAATTAGATGAATGTAAATGATCCTAATTGTTTATCACACGATATGACAGCTTCTTGCTTAGGAGCATTTCACATAAATGTCAATAACCTCTCCCAGGATGTCATCTCCAGTGACCACTGCTATTTTCAAGTCAACGCCAGCCTTCCTGGCCATCTTGTCCAGGGCAGCAGCACACATGAGGGGGTTGGTCCCCCCAGCATTGCTGATCACACGCACGCCTGCCAGAGAGAAACATGCAGTCACTCTGATGCAAGTTCAATCAGCAGTTTTCATTCAAAGAACTTTCTCTTCCCATTGTTTTTTGTTGTTGCTTTTACCTTTTAGAGGCAAACACACCAAAGGCAACGGTATCCCTATATAATATTTAAGTCGCTGAAGCCGCTTCTGGGGTTTAAGCTCATCGGATGCATGGCTGGTAACTGATATGAATGGAGATGTAACCATTGGCTCCTAATAAAAATATCTGTGGGCTATAAATGAAGTGACTACTTCTAATTTTAAAAATTCTCTGGATTTTCTAAACAATCCTCTAGAGAGGACTGATCCAATCAATCACATTTTTAAAACTCTAATCTTTAATTTGAACTCTGACAGTGATTTGCTGAGACAGGCCACATAGACCACTACTCCTGAGTGCCTAAGGCAGGAGAGTCAACATTCCAGAATTCTAAAGTAGAGAGTAGTGATCAGCTAATCCAGGAGGGCTTATCTTTTAAAGATTCATTATCCTTTGGGGAACCTGGTAAGAACTATGGATTTTCTCCTGAGAGAGAAAAGCTTTTTTTTTTTTTTGGTTATAATTTCAGGGGCATGTCAGATTCCCCAAAGCCTAGCCTTGGACACAGTGATGCCAAATTAGGAAACCTTGACCAATCCAACCACCTCACTTACAAATGAAGGAACTAAGGTGAAGAGGAGCGAAGTGACTTGTCTAGGGGTCATGCAGCTTGTTAGGGGCAGCGGCAGGATGAAAACCCGGCTTGTCCCATTCCCTGTCTGCCCTCATCTGCGGTATCGGACTCCACCTCTACATGGACCATGTGGGTGGTTAATGGTCATCAGACAAAATCTGCAAAGGGTCTGAATGCTCTGCTAAACCACTCCTAACTGGCCAAAGAATGATTAAGTATAAATGATTAGAATTTATACCCACTAATCCTCTTTCTATGTATGGCATTTTTCCCTGTTTTCACTCCCTTCAACCTATTCAGGTGCATCTGAATCCACCCCATCCTCCTCTCCACCTCCCTCTCCACCTCCCTCCAACTCCCAGCACTTCTTCAAAACTCCCTCCTACCTGGGTTCTGGTGACTCTCTATCCAGTCCTTCCCAGTCTCTTCAACAGTTTACCCTTCCCTCCCCTCACATTTTATATCTCACTGTTTGCCTCCACCATCCCTGCCCTTTCCAGGGATTCCCTAAAGCTCAGCCCTACTTTCCTTTAAATCCATTCCCACCCATCCCTCCTTCAGCAACCCTTCCCAAAATGGCTTCAACTAATATTTTTATTGACCAAAACTCCCTCCCTCGAATCTGTTTCTGTTTCCAACCTCTCATCCATGAAGTGCTGTGACTTTGACCTTGTTTGTGCTGTGATGTCTAACTATATTTAATATGTAGCAAGAGCAGTAGATGTCCTTGTGTATTAACTGACATTTTATGATTCCAAAATGAAAGATAATATAAAAATAACAAATTTATTACCAATACCTAAGGTTCATAAGAAGTTTTGGTAAGTCTGACCCCTTGCGTTCTTTTTGCCTTTCAAGATAACTTATTTTTTTAAAGAGGGGATATAGCTCCCCCTAGTGGAAAATAATGATATTTTAGAAAACAGAGCCTTCTAACCTGTAATCTGAAATGCATCAACAATAAAACTAAAGGGTACATAATAACTACATCAGACTAGCAATTATTCAAAGCTCTTCATCTTAAAGATTTTCATCTTAAAGATCTTAAATAACAACATATTGTAAGGCATCTATCATTCTTAAGCAGAGATACATTTTCAGTACTTAAGAGATATTCAGTAATGCCACTTGAAGTTACCTTAGGATCCAACTGCAAAAGACTTTCTTTGTTAGCCCAATAAATCACAGCACTACGATAACAAGGCCAGAGTCTTGGATTTGGTTCAAGTATAGTCAGCAGCTTTTATGGGTCCCAGAGCCACAAGTTTCAATCTGATTTCAGGGAGTCATCTCAATAAGATTTTCCTGAGCCAGAGACCCAGGGTGAGAGAGAGCGAACTAGTACAATTCTAACTCTCTGACTGGAAATAAACCCAAATATGCTGGTGGGTTAACACTGGCTATATTTTAAAATATTCTTTCACCTAATAACAACTGCCTTCTTTCCTCAGAACCACACCAAAGTGGCTAATAAAGCCCTTTTGAATGTTCACTGAGTTAATTATTTACTTTTAGTGACTATATATCATATACATAAATAAATACCTATATTATATAAACATAATATCCAAATATACTTATCTATATGATATAAATAAAACTAAATATAGCATCTATTACATAATATATAAATATATACTGTATCCTCTCTTTCTTAAAATTTGACATGCCATTAAATACAGAAATATAAGATTATTTAATGACGAATATTTTTCAAATTACCTTTCTTGTAAATATCCTTTATATATGGAGCCATGGCGGTCTGTACAAAATCAGGAACATAGCCCAAATCCTAAAATATAAAAATAAATGTGTTATCCATTATGAAATTTGGTTTGACTCAAAGGCAACAGACTAACCAATCATTTAATTACTTGCAAAACTACATTAAATTTTAAGTAATTATAATACTTACGTTGTCTGAAAAGAACTAATCCCTTGTGAATCTGAGACTATAATCAATCAATGGAAAGATCTATATGATGTTAAAAATAAACTCAACTTGCATTATTACCAAAGAGATGAAATAAGGACGATAGCTAAACAAATTAATCACTTCTCTTTTGGGATCCATAGCAGTTTTAACTCTAAAGTTTTATTAGAAACTAAAATTCCCAACACTGTACATGTCCTTAGCATACCCTACACTAATTGTCAAGAGAAGCTAATGATTTCACCTTTATTTGGTAGATTATAGAAACAGATGAAGGAAACCAAAAGGGTACAGTGGAGTAAGAGCAGTTTAAAGCACAAAGTAGATAATTAGTTGTTACTATGGGTTCATTTTTTTTTTCTTTAAATATCTTTACAGAGAGAGGAAGGGATAGGGAGAGAGAGAGAGACAGAAACATCAATGATGAGAGAGTCATTGATGGGCTGCCTCCTGCACGCCCCCGACTGGGGATCGAGCCCGCAACCTGGGCATGTGCCCTGACGGGGAATCGAACCCCGATCGCCTGGATCCTGGGTCAATGCTCAACCGCTGAGCCATGCCAGCCGGGTTCACTTTTAAATTAATTCTACCAAGTAAAAGCAACTGCTTACATGGACTAAATATCACAAAGTTGATCACATAGCTACGCTAAGGCTTGTATGTATTTTCTAGTAAGCTGCGTAATTTAAATGGTTCTCCTAAGTGGAATTTCTGCTGGGATACTCCATGCCTCGGGCAATTTCTTGGCCTTATGTATCAGAAACAATTTTTTTAAGTAATTCACTGGAATTAACAAATATTTCGAAGTTAGGATAAGACACTGGTCATGTATTATATATGACAACATAAGCAATTTTTCATGCTAATAAAGCTTTTCATATCTATAATCTAGTGGCTATAGAAGATTTCATTATCTGGATCTCTCACCGTTTGCTTAACCATTTCCTTATTGTTGGCTATTTAGGCCTTTTGTGTGTGTGCATGTTATAAATAAGGTTACATTATCCATCTTTGTGAGCAAAGCTCTTCCACAGTTAGCTGTAGTTCGTTAAGGCAACTGTGACTGAAGTGACTGTAAATAACCAAACAACTTACACTTTTTTTAACAATGAGACCTACCAATTTAAGTTTTATAAGTCACTTATGCAAACATTGTCTTGTGTAATTATCTTTTAAGGTATCATTTTATGGTCATTAAAATGATTACAATAATTAACTTACAGATGACTTTATTTTTGCAGCAGTTAGCAGGCACATAGTTATCTCCGAGAGATAATCAAAAACCAGGTAATCCAGCTTCTCTCCGTATAGTAGCTGAGGAACTAGAGGGAAAGCACAAAGTGTAATTTACTTTTAAATTTAAAAATAATTTAATCAGCATTTTTAAAAAGTATGAATCAAATCTTATTTTCTTTACATTCCAAAATCAGAAGCAAATCATATACGTTTATGTGTTTTGTGGGCATGCCCCTGGGAATCCTTTCCAGCTAAAGGAGGTGTTTTTTTAAAATACGTTTTTATTGATTTTAGAGAGAGAGATAAGGAGAGAAATAGAGAGATAGAAACATCAATGAGAGAGAAACATAGATGGGCTGCCTCCTGCAAGCCCCCTACAGGGGATAGTGCCACAACCCGGGCATGTCCTCTGACAGGGAATTAAACTGGTGACCTGTTGGTGCATGGGCCGATGTTCAACCACTGAGCCACACCGGCCAGGCCCAGCTGATTGAGTTTTTGGTCACTGTACTTTACATTCAAGCACTGTTATTTTGGGGTGATACTCCACACACTTCATCATTCTAACTAAAGGAAAAGTAAATTATAGGGTAGCAGAAAAATAATCTGTGGCCATGGTAGTAGATCTCCCCATTTCCAGTGCTCTACAGAAATTATTTGGTTCGAATGGCAAGGATCTCTTTGTAAAAGAGACTTTTGCTATTCTAAGCTCACAATCAATTCAGGCAAAAATCAATTCTGCTCACAGTTTTCGGTATGACAGAAATAGGTGAGGGCAAAGGGAACATCTGCTCTTAGCAAGCTCCTAGTTTCCTTCTTCCATCATTCTAAAATAATTGGTTGTGTTATTAAAAGCCTCAAAGGCAATTCCCAAAGTAAAACACAAGAAGCATAAAAGTCTAAAGAAAAATGCTATCATAAGATATGTTGTCCTCCTAAACAGTGTATGTTTAAGGGTAGGAGCTCTGTCTTAACATGGTGTCCCTGTCTCCAGCACTGCACCTGATGGTACTTAGCCAAAGCTGGCTGAATACAGTTGAACAAACGAGAGTACATTTCAAATAAGCTCTTCTTGAAGGTTTCTTCACATCACATCTCTCACTCTTCATAAGCTATCATGGCATACCCAAGGATTACTTAAGCCTCTAATGTCTTGTCTGCACAGAATTCTTTATTCTGACATGGTGAAATTCCTAAAACCTACTGTAAAGACTTTATGTAAAGGTTTCTCACAGATGGAAACATTTCCACTAGGTTAGAGAGCTGGCCACAGCCACATCTTACATAAGTCTATAAAATAAATACAGTGTTGGAAGTATTTCTTAGTTACTGAGATAGTCATTTACATATTTTTTCCAGTATAATGCAACTATAATACCATATAAGACAGATGGAAGGCTTTTACCATTATAAAAGAGTAAACTCAGACATGATGTACATATGAAAAAAACCATTAAAATGGGAAGATTATTGAAAGATAAATGGCTCTATAATTAATGCTATGTTATTTCTCCACGACACTTGAAAGGTCAACAGCAACTACACTGACACGAGAAGCAATACAATCTGATGAAATGCCTTTCAATCCCCAATGAAGCCATTCTACAGACAGCACACAGAGCAGAGTCTTTTCATCAGTGATTTCAGAGTAGGAAGAAATATCTCGCTTTGGGACTTTAGGTCAAGATGTTTAGCAATAGTGTGAAATTCAAACAGGCAGGACAAATGGTTGTGCCTGCATTCGTGGGAACAGCGTGGTAAGGGAGAAAAGGAAGACAAGAACAAAGGGATGCCCCAGAGATCAGGCAAAGACCGCTCTGTGGCTGACGGATAGCTCAGATGACCACAGGAGGCTTCAGAGACAATGCAAAATCCAACTGCATTGCAAAGTCGTCATGTATTTTTAAGCATTGCCTTGTTTGGATTCTTAAATCATATCTGTTGGTGTTTCAATAGTCCAGAAGCAGATGGAGTGGCTCATGAAACCTGCTTTCTTCGGGAAAGGCATCTGAACAAGTGTAAGCCACAGTGGAGAATTTCAAGAAGGAGCAGGACAGGCGGTCAGCCTGCCTTCCCTTCAGTGTACAGGAGCCTGTAAGCAGCCCAAAGCCCGAAGCGAAGGCGCAGGCAAGCAGAGGCAGCCGAGGCCTCCCTAGACGACCCTCGCCAGGGGCTTCAAGGCGCCCTCGCCGCAGTCATCCTCTGGGGGATGGAGTCTGAGGGTCAGGTTTAGAAACAACGCGGCCCACTCTAACCGCAGGGCTGAGGGCTATTGGAGAACCAAATGAACAAACTTGCTTGTACACTGTGATAATCAGAACTTTTTCAAAGTAAATAAATGATGAGAAGATAGAATTAATCATAAAAATATTCTCTATGGTTTATATTTACAAAAAGAGGTTCTTATTCCTTGTTGAGAGTCCTGGGTTTTTGAAAGGTAAACAACATGAATTTGGTATAAATCTGGAGATAAAACAAAGAAAGACCAATGAAAATTATCTTGGCTTCAGGAAATAAGTTTTCTGTTTTGCATTCCTAAGGCCCAGCACAGTGCTCAAGAAATACTTATTGATGAGTAAATGTTAAATTAAAACAATTCAGATTATGTGAATATTCCACAATCTTAAGTACAATGGATACATATCTGATATACTGAGTGTGAGAGGTGCTGTGCCAGAACAGAACTTGGTCCCAGTCCTGTAAGTACTTACAAAGCCTTTTTACTTCATTGGAAAATAAAGACATTTACTGGCCACAGCCAACATCCTCACTCACTTGACTTTAGCCCTGTGATATATTACAAATCACTTACAGACTCATTCATTCAATAGCGTCAATAACCATACACGCTGCTATGATCTGAGTGTTTGTGTCTCAAACAAAGTTCATGTGTTGCAATCCCAATGCCCAATGCCATGGTATTAAGAGGTTGAGCCTTTGGTCATGAATTTGTTTAGTGGCCTTGTAAAAGAGACCAGACAGAGCTCCCTAGCTCCTTCCAACACACGAGAATACAGGAAGTCTTTGACTTGAAAGAGGCCCTCACTCAACTATGCTGGCACCCTGTTCTTGGCCTTCCAGACTCCAGAACTGTGAGAAATAAACTTGTTGTTTATAAGCTACCCAGTGTCTGGTATTTTTTTTTTATAGCAGCCCAATGGAACTAAGACACATGCTGAGCAATAAAGACACAGCAGCGATCAAAACTGTCAAAAATCTCTGCTTTCCAAACTCTTTGGAGTTTACATGGGGGGGGG